AAGCAAGTGATGTTTTTACCCATTTTTGGATAACATAATTTAGAATCTCCAGCATTAATACTCTCCTCACATATTGAATTAAAGGCTAATACTTGTACAAAATTAATAGTAATTATTGTCATTTCATTAAAGCTATCTTGTTCAAGATTGATAACTTCTGCTATCCATCGATTCTCTAGCCAAGAATCCATTTCTACAGTCTTTGTTAAATTTATTATAGTTAAATTTATTGGCGCTGTATTTAGTAAGCTATGACGAGAAGAATAATTAAAACCTGGAAAATTTGGTGGGCCGCTGCTAGGATTACATATAGTAGACAAACCAAAAACTGGAATTATAAAATTATTATCTTCTACTAATTTGTAATTCTTACTAATATCACTGTCTACTGCTGCTACCATTACTTTTTTTTTACCTTTTGGGTCATCTCCCCAGTTTGATGATAATTGTTTGGTAATTCCATTTATTAGTATATCTGAATCCACATAAACCTAAATCTATCTTGTAATAGTTCTGGATATGATGCATCTCCAGGACCACATGGTGTCAAAGGATCAACATTAAAACTATTACTATAAATTGAGATTAAACCTGAAATTGGAGAAGTAGTTCTGATTGCGAATGAAATAGCATTGAATGCTATGGTTAAAGCAGCAAAAACACCGAAAAAAATAATAAGTATCATAATCTTTCTGAAATTTTTCATTTCTTTTGCATAATAATTTGCGTAATAATTTGTATAATAATTTAGAACGTTCAATTATAGTAAGAATTCCAAGCACTTGACTATTTGCAGCTGCTATCAATAAATCATCATAATTATCTGATATTTCAATTGCTTTCTTTTGATCAATTGCTTCCTCTTGATCAATTGCTTTCTCGTGACCATTTACTTTCTCTTGATCAGATATTTCAATTGCTTCCTTTTGAACAATTGCATTCTTGTGACTATTTACTTTCTCTTGATCATTTTCTTCCTCATGACTATTTACTTTCTCTTGATCATTTTTTTCTTCGTGACCATTTACTTTCTCTTTATTATTTTCTTCCTCGGGACCATTTACTTTCTCTTGATTATTTTCTTCCCCATAATCATTCACTTGATTATCTGTTTTCCTTTGACTATTTATCCAGTTACTTATAAACCAGTTAAAAATTGCATTTAATATATCCGCAATTGAATATAATATTATATAAGTGGTTATGAGTAGTATTCCATGTATAAATACATGTCCAACTGGTAAAGTTATTTCATTAAATCTTGGAATAAGTGATAATATAATTAATAATAAAATTAATTTAACAACTATTGTAATTAAATTTGGACTAGGCGTACACAATATGTCTTGTATGCCTTTTTGTGCTGACATATTTTCGAGAAATAAGCCTTGAGAGATCTAATAAATTCATTTTATTTATAGATGTTTGAGTAGGTTGCAATTTATTAAGAGGACAAATCTATATTGTAGTGAAAAATTCAAATATATGATAAATAATTTCTTATTTCACGTATAATATTAACCTTATTTTTTAAAGGGCAGCTGCTAATAAATATTTATAGGTGTAATGGTAATACATTATTATTCGAAGAACATTATGTATTGGGGTATTTTATATACTAATTAATCAAATCTATGTAAGGAGTCGTAGTAAAAATTAATAGTGCAGATTTTATGCATAGATAGGCAAAATCAATATGTGAGGAGAGTATTAATGCTGGAGATTCTAAATTATGTTATCCAAAAATGGGTAAAAACATCACTTGCTT